ACTTGACACTCGACTCAATTATAAAACCGACACAGACAACTGCGCTCAAATCTATAGACACACAGTAAACAAATACAAATCTGTTAGACTTTAGTTGAAGTAAGAACGTTGACTTAAAGACAACATAACTTTCTTCAAGTAAGTTTATTTCCTTATTGTTGTTTCAAAATCTGTTAAAATATATGTAATTGTAGTTCCCTGAGGATGATTGGAGAATCCAATCGAAATATTGGAAACAATAAATATTAAAAATCAAAATTAAAAACGATTTTTACTTTAAAAAAGCCTACAGCCGAACTAATACAACAAAGATAAACAAAACTAGGCAAACGATACCAATTCAAATACCAAAAATTTTAAAAAAATTCGTCTAAAGACCAATCAGCAGTTGGTTTACAAATATACATGGACCGACAGACATGCAGCCGGACAGAGGGATATAAATTCACTTAGAAAATCATTCAATACATCTCCTTAAAGTAAATTGTTTCCTTTTTCTGAAATCGAGAATTAATGGGTGTACTGAATCCTGAGAGGGCTCACTGGTGCCAAAGGAAGCAAAAATAAAGCCAAAAATCGATGTTTGAAAAAAAAACGACCAGGCTAGGCGCTATGCCACGATAAATTACTGACCGTTTAAGCCAAAGTATTAAACTGCAAACACTCAGGTTGGAAAATTGGGCTAAGATCTTGAAACCAACGAAATGACGTGTGTCGGTGGAAAAAATAATACGTCTGCAACCCTAAAAATCTAGAACAATGAAGAGTATAGTTATATGAAGTCTACCAATAAACCTTGAGCCAATATAAAATATATATATACAGTGGTGTTCAAAACATATGCAACTGAAATTGACTATTTAAAAATATGTAGAAATCTCTTTATTTCAGGATAAAACATAGATCAACTTGGTATTTTTTCGACGTTTTAGGTTCAATTGAAACTGTAATTGTAATTTTTCCCAGAAATGTTTGGTATTTTGCAGGAAGTAACTGCAACTCTGACGACTATAAAAATATCAATTTTATAGTTATCAAAGTATATATTTTTTTCGCAAAGTTTAAGTATTCTCGAATGTTAAGAGGTAATTTTAATAATTTTTTAATAAAAAATGTAATATACGGTCACAAGCAACCAAATAGAAATGGCAAACGATAAATTCGGATTTGGGATAATAAGACTCATTGTGGGCAATTAGAAAAACTCATTGTCGATGAATATATGAGTAGAATATCACTAAGACAGAAGTCTGAAGAATATAATGTCCCCAGAAGTTTAATATCACATATAGTGAATAAGTATATAGTCACGATCCAGGTTTCCTTGACTTAGGAGGAAGTCCACTAAACAAAAGCTGTCGTACTGATAATTTATCCATGCAGATGGTCAAAACAAAAATTTATAATACGTCCCCAACTAGCAAAAGTCATTCAAAAAAAAAACTAATGGCTGCCACATTATGCGTACACGCCACATATAAAGACCTGATTACGAAAAACCCGTCCTGCAAAAATGCGTTTATTTTATCTTGTCATCAACTGAAGCGGTAACACTTTGCAAGGACCACTTATGTTAACAAATTTTCAAATTAAAACGATATTATTCAATAGCGAATCATAATTTCCCAACTTAAATGGTGTCTTGTCAATTTGAGGGGGTATACCAAAATTAAGCATTTTCGGTAGGAATATTTGCTACTAAATAGAAACCAAAAAATCAAATAAAAGGCAATTCGGTTAAAAAACGTGGGCAAAATACCGAATAATGGGGTTATCCGAGTCTTAGACCAATAAAGATGATTTTTAGTAGGGAGGTTTTCTAACCAATGTGAATCCAAAATATAAAACTACATTGAAAAATCCCAAAATACCGAAAATTGGGTACGCGTACTGATACTGATGATACAGCGGAAAGACGGATAGGGCTAACACAAATTTCATTCTGATCATTAACCTTGTGTTCCCCGATTTTAGTTCCGTAATCATAGAACAATTTTCTGTTAACAGATTCAATGCAACTACCCTAAATAGGATATGAACAAAATTTGGCATCGCAACATCCTTGCACTCGGGAGATACAGTACATTATTTATGAAAAATAAAAGTCCAATATCAAGAAAACCAAATGGAATATCGACGGAAAAATCATTTTAAATTATTCTCTATATTCTTTTTTACAAGAATCAAAAATAATTCTGATGGCAGAATTCGCACAATTTGAACTCTTCTCTGTATTGAAAAGCTCATAACTTTACCAAAAAATTGAATTTTTAGATTTTTCTTTTCATATTGTCGTCCATAATCAGGGCTTGACATATGAAATCCAACGAATTATTTATTTCTACCAGCTGCATATTAAATAGAAGCTCTAAAACATTTTGTTGCCATTGGGCCATAAAGGGTTAACTTTATGGGGTCTCTGCACAAATATTTCGCTGGCGTTTTAAAATGTCATACAATTTTCTATTTGGAAAGTTTCTAATGATTGAATAAGTAAACTCCACTGTGCGACAAATTTTAATTCTTTTGATAATTACCGGGAAATTCCAACAGATTATGGAAGAGGGGCTAAAAAAAGAAGACACGTGTATCGGCCTTTTCAAGAATTTTGATAATTTTCGAATTATGATTTCTTGAAATCCTTGCACATTAGGAATATAGTGTATTCGGCAATATTACTGATAAAATATCAAGGAATATTTTGGTATGCAACCGACTCCAGGAGCGATTGAAAACTCGTTCAATACGGGGTTAAAGCTGCTCAGAATATTCTACAGAAATGTTCGCCTTAAAGTTTTACTATAAGTCTCAGAATAGACTAAAACTAAAAAATCAGCTTAAACGTCAAAAATCTTAAAAAAAAAACAAAAACTCATTTTAGGGTTAATATCGTACTTATTACTAGTTTTTACCCATTTTTCCCACAAGATGTCGTTTTAGAAGGATACTATAAAGGACAAAAATAATATCCATCAATAATACCCATAAGTCACTGAACAAGAGAAATCTGTATATAAAATGTATATACCGAATATATAGTCAGACATTTTGAACAAAAATTTCAAAATGTTCTTGTATTTTTTTACGAAGACTTTTCCCAGTATTTTTTTCGACAAAGTGCATTAAACTAACATGAAACTTAATTTTGGGTATATAATGTCAAAGAATAAAATATTCTACGTCAAAATCCATTTCAAGTCTCAGAATTAATTATTTTTTGTGTTGCTCAGTGCCATCAATTAATTAAAATATTAATTACTGTGGCTTTCTGACAGGCTTCTAAATTATACACGCGATAAACTATCAATCAAATTTATTTAGAGCGAAAATAATTGTTCATCTGCATCATTATAGATTCCGCAGTAGTCACCAAATACTTAGTCATTTCATATACACCTTTTACTACATATTTTCAATATCAGTTAATTAGTCAATTTTTCTTTACAGGTTACACAAAGGTTCAGATTAAAATATAGCTTTGATTGCTATATTTAAATGTTCTTCTTTTAATTAAAAATTTTGGAACACAATAGTATTCAATTTTTTTATGTAAATTGCATTACACTGCCATAAAAACACAAATTTTACTTATTTTCAAAACTTTCATTGACGCGACTAAATTCATTCTAAACGCATATACACAGACGCACACACACACAAATAAACTAATTGCTAATTGAATAATTAACCATGTTAATTTTAATGTGAAAATAACTGTAAAACACACTGTAACAATTTTTATGGCTTTGCTAAAAAAACAGTTTTGCGTAATCTATAGAGGTATAATTTTTTTATATAAAACATGAGAACATAATGCTGGTAGTAAGTGGGTGGTAGTAAAATAGTTTTGAAACGATAAATAAAAAAAACGTAATATTAAATTTTATTTTTTACCATAAAGAAATAAGAAAATATTTGCATATTAAAAAAAATTAAACGAAAAAGAAACTCAACTGAACGCAACGTTAAATTATTTATATATAAAAAAAAACAATTGTAATATGAAAGAATTAAAAAAAATAAATAACTTAAACAATGTAAAAAGTAAACGTAACTGCAACGTAACGTATAACAAAGAAATAAAGAAAAAAACTTGTTGAAAAAGTTAACGTGAACGTGTAACGAAAACGCAATGTTTATAGTTATTGCTTGGTTTTGTTTTGTTTAAAAAAATATTTTGCTAATTACGTTACTGAATGACTAACTGCTGCTGTCGTTGCCGTCATCATCTTCATCACCGGTATCTTCTTCTTCTTCATCAACAGGAGTTCCGAAGAACTTTTCGCCGTTAAAAGACACACGACTTAAATGTCGCTCATGTCCATTTAAATACAAACACACACACACACACACTGATGAGTGCAAATATATAATGCCATTGTAATTAGTCGACACGTAACTATGGCTCACGTTAAGCAAACAATTAAACGCAGAAAAGCGGAGAGAATTTTTTCTCTATCAAACTCCATTTGTTTGTTTAACATCATCAAAAAGAATGAGTTACCAATACACTGAAAGTTGATGAGTGTGTGTAAGTATTGATTAAAGGTTTTTTTTCGGTTTCAAAAAATAAAATAAGGAAATAAAAAAATGAAAAAGAAGGATTATTTTTTTATGGTTTATATCGTTGTTTGTTGCTTTACATTCTTTATAAAAGAAAAACGATAATTAAAGAAAAGTAAGATACCAAATGAAAACAGCCTTTCCACGCACACACACACAAAATAAAAACAACTGATAAAACAAAAAATATTGGATTTTTTATTTTTCTGTTGCACTAACAATCATCTATAGATCATGATGCAAAAAGCAAAGGTTATGGGGTGGTTGGGTAAATGACAATTCATGGTAAGGTAAATACAGGTAAATGGTATCAGGAAAAAAGAGGATGTCATGGTGGGAGGGTGAGAAAAAAATGAAAACAGAAAAAAAAACCAACAGAAAGCGCCTTCAATGAATATAAGCAAAACAAAAAAGAAGAAGTGCAGAAAAAAACTTACATCCGTTTGCAGCCTTTGTGCCTCCTGTTCGGTTTCGAAGGTTACAAAACCATAACCTTTACTGACACCAGCTCTATCGACAATAATTTTTGTTGATTTCACATTGCCATAGGCGGAAAAAACGCGACACAAATCGGATTCCGTTGTGTCGCCGCTGAAAAGAGAGAAAAAAATGGAAAATTGCATTAATATCTATAAAAGCATGGAAGAATTGATATGGATATTGGCGGAAAAAACACAGACACACACATACTCTTCGTGGACATTTAATTCATTTTATTTATCACACCTAAAAGCATTGCTATTTTTTCGCATTTCCAATTAAGCATCGTTTATAGCTTTTATTTTTTTGCAACATTGAATGCCCAACATAAAAGGGCTTTAATTACTGGACAATTAAATGTTCGCACTACAATTAATATATTGTGGCCCGAAGTGCATTTTTGTTGCTTCTTCTTTAAATTAATAAACTAATTAAAATTCTTCGAAAAGTGAGAAGACGGTAAAGGAAATTGACAAAAAAAAAAGAAAAAAACTAAATCGGGGTGCTCCATGAGCTGGTTTAAATAACTCGCGCACCTCTTCGGATCAGTCATCGCCATGTCGTTAAACGTAACACCCGTTCCATCATCCTTCCTCCCGGAATTCGAGAGTGACTTAACCGTTGCCCACAATTTACTTGCTGCGGCTTCAATGACGCAAAGCTAGACAATTTTGTTCGCTAATGTTCGCATACTAATCAGTTGACTTTAACCCTTTCAGTGTCAAAAACATTTTTTGTCGGAATAAAAATCTAAAATTTTGTATTTAAAATCATATAAAGGCATAGAGTTTATATAAAATAGAAATTTTCATTTTAACCCTCGGACAGTTTCGTCTGTCTTTCAGCAAAAACAAAAACATCAATAGTAACGGTACATAAGATAACCGAAAAATCGCAAAGAAGGAGCTTACTTTTATATGTTGAATATATTCGACAAAAACATTGAAAGGGTTAAGGGTGAGTTCTTTAACTCTCTGGTCTTCAGATGTTGTACGACGAAGCTCATCACACTCATTCGCAAGCACCGTCGCCATTACCTTGATGGAATGCCAGAGCTCGTGATAGACACCAGAAGTCCGTGAAGAAAAACTTAAAATGTATCTAGCAAACACTTAAACCACCCAACTTTTTCTCTGGCTCACATAGTGTTAAGAGAGAGTGAGAGAATGCGAAATTGCAGAACTAAATTGAGTGAGAGTGTGCATAAAATGGGCCTCTGTAAAAAATGAAGAAGGGTGCGGTGATAAATGTAAATCGGAAAAATTCCCGTTTCCGAAACTCTTTTTGCCTATATTCAAAAAGTGCACACTCAGACCTTTCGTTTAAGACCCCCCTCATCCCCGCACACTTCTTAATTTAATTTATAAAATGGGACATATGAAATTTGCATAAGGCTGGTCGCGGTTCTGATGCGGTTCTGACAAACAGAAACAAGATCCGGGGTTTCTGTCTAACCGCGGGCCAGAAGTGTTCGTAGCAAGCATCCCGGGATATAATGCCTCTCTCATGTTAAAAATACGGCACAAACATGTAGTAGTTGAGGGGGCAGCCCCTGGTCGAAGAATTCCCTCGAGTTAATCCGGTGCATAAAACCGGCCACCGTGGTTGTTGTGATTGGTGCAAAAAAAAAATATAAAAAAATGCTATGGCAATTTTTTAAGAGAACCACCCATTCTCGATTTACATTTTTTCACGATTTTCTTCCGTTGATAACTTGTAACTTTACATACATGTATTTGAAGACTTGAAGAAGAAGAAAATAAATTGAGAAAATATTGATGTTTTTTGTAATTAAAGAAAATTCCATCTAATTGACGGCGGGCATGATTGCCGATCACTGGAACACCTCAAAATTACAACGCAATTAGGAAGAGAAAATATCTGGCTCTGGTATGAACTAGGACTATTGACTTCGATCGAAAATTGGTGAAACCGAAATTGGCAGACCTAGGAAAACTTTTTTATTATTACTATTTATTTATTTGTTTATTTTTTTTTAAGGAAGATGTTAGGAGCTTGGTTCATACGATAGCTATGTAGGTCAAATAATTCATATTTGGAACTGATTGGATTAATAATTTTGGAGTTATCGTGTCCGCCAATCGTAAAAACACTATTTTAAAACATGAGTTTTTTTGAACGTAAAACTATGGTATAAAATGTTCGGACCGGCTGAACATAAATCATTTTTACTTGTTATTAAACGCTAAAACTTCTAGCTGATAAAACCGATACAAAAAAAAATATATATATACAGACGAATCCGGCAATTCTTCCTAATGTACATCTTATTCGAAATTTATTGGTGTTCGTAGGTGTAAGGTTTCCTGAGCGGCTCAAAGTGGAGAAGGACAACGAAAACATACAAATATTGATTTTTTGTCTTCGGGGAGCCCCTATCTAAAATCTTATGAGCCACAGTAGGAGTTAACAAATCCCACAAATTCTCGATATAGAAGGATGATGTGTTTTACAAAAATATTTGACGTACCGCTATATGTGGGCTACCGTAAAAAATTTACCGATATATCTCATTTTCAATATCAAACATCCCAGAAGTAACATTAATATAAGTTCAGAATTTCTATCTTCAATATTGCGAGCTTTAGTTTTTTACAGGAGTGTAGTTACGTCCGTTTGAATTTCTTGAATAAGGTTGCTGTTTTTGATGTCAGATGTCTAAATTTTTGTGTGAATATGTAATCTGATTAAACGAACAATAATCAAATAAAAAGTCAATTCCGAATTTGTCTGTAGTTACGTCCGTTTGCATTTATGATGACGATATTCTGAAAGTACATCTTGAGACCGATGCGGTCTCCGCACCGCATTGGTTTTAGTTTTGGTCCAACATGGCAGTTTCTATGCAATTTATCTTCACGATCATTCTTTCCGTACACCTGATTACGATTCCAACATGGAAGTTTCTATGCAATTTATCTTCGCGATCATTCTTTCCGTACCCCTGATTACGATTCGGTCCACATAATATTTATACTAGACATACTTTTTTGAGGCAAAACCTCCGCGGCAAAGATTTATAATACATTGTAGAAGTGGACAGTAAATTTTCTCGACCATAACAGGTGGACTCGAAGACCCTTTATTTTTCATATTTAAATTTTCTGATGCCAAAGGTGTGATAAATAATTTAAGTAAAAAAAAATTAAATTAAAAACTCACCTTATACCGCCGACAAAAATCCGATTTGGTATTAATGTGCCATATTTCGGGGCGGATAGCGGTGCCTCAATAGCCGCCGGCGCTGCTCCAACGGGCGCTGCCATCTTTTGCATAGGCTGTGGCTGAAGTTTGAAATTTGTTATGGGCAGAATTTTGAAAGTTTTTATTTGTAACGGGGGGTCACGAAGTAAATTCAGTTGATGGGCACAGCTAACGAATGTAGCTGCAAGTTAAGTTGAGAGTTTATCTGCTGCAAGCACTTGCTGTTGGCGATGGATGTAATTTGCTGATAAGTTGTTGTTGTTGTGGTTTTGCGTTGTTTTAGCTTGGCTTATGTTGTTTTTGTTTAACACAGTTGTTACGCACACACGTTTTATGTTTATTTTATTATAAAATTAGGTATTGCCTTTTTTGATTTATGGTGATTTTCTTTTTCTTTCGGGTAATAAGCGTAATAAGCTTTTTAAATTTTTTTATATTTATTTTTCTAATATTTTTAGAATATTTCAATTTCAAGCTAAGCGTGGCTTTCTTTTCTTCAATTATATTTTTAGTTTATGGCTGTTGAGGTTAAAAAGGAAAAATAAATAAAATAATACAAGAATTACTAAAAAACATTTCTATACAAAATATAAAATAAATAGTAAAGAAATGTTGTCAATATTTTTGTTGGTCTTTAATGTAAAAGTAATTTTAATTAAATTCTATTTTATGCGTCGTTGTAAATATCAGATCGAAGTGTTGCGAATTATTCGCTCAGATACGCCTAAAGGTAGGCAATATTTTTTTTAAATTGCAAACATTTTTGAAGATAGGCAATGAACACTTTTTTTAAATTATTTTAAATTTTAAAAAAATGGTTTTCACTTTTGAAATGTTCTATATGAATGCACAAATTTCACTTTTCAATATTTTATTAAATTTTGAAATCGAATATTATCAGTTTTGCTGCCGAGTTGTGAAATTAATTTAATTATTTCTTATTTTATACCACAAATTTAAAACACTTTTTGGATATACACAATTTTCGCTCTGTTATTTTTATAAAGTATTGAATTGAAAATTTTTGCTGTTTTTTTGTTTTTTTATATTTTTACATTTGTCACACACACGGCAAGATATTCTATTTTCTGATTTGTCTAGTCGTCGTCGAACAACTCAAGACAATTTTATTTACTGACTGGCTGATATGTTTTTGGCAGGCTGTGGTTTTTTTAACTTTTTGTTTTTGTTCTTTGTTTTATTTTCTATAAGAATTTGGCGACAATTTTTAGTTTCTCTCGTTTCTAGAAGAAAGCAACAGCAATCACTGACAGCTGTGGTACTACTAATTGCGGTGTTCTTTTTAAGAATGCTACCGCTGCTGGCTGAATAGCTGAGATTCGGGGAATGATGCTGTTCTGGATGCACGTTAAGTGTTATTTTTGGTATTAAGAACAAAAAACGAAAACAACAACGACAACGACAGACACAAGATAAAATAGCAGCGAAAAAAGAACAGTGTGTCAAGAAGGGTGTCAAATGAGTGGCAACATTTTTGAAGATCGTTTATTGAGGATGGGTTGTCCTATCGAAAAATTTAGTGAAGGTAACTTCCCTTCTTTTTCTTATAGAAAACTTCATCGGAGATTACCTTTCTAATGGGGAAAAGTTCATAGGAGATGAATAACTTTTCCTAGATCTTATAGAAAAAAGTTCATCGAAGATGACTTTTCTTATAAGATAAAAGTTAATCGAATATGACTTCTCCTATAGAGAAAAAATCATCGAAGTTGACTATTCCTATGGAGAAAAGTTTATCGAAGATGTCTTTTTCCATAGAGAATAATTCATCGAAGATGTACCAATGAACTTTTCCATGTAGGAAAAGCTATTCATCTCCGATGAACCTTTCCCTATAGGAAAGGCTGAATAGCTCAGATTCGAAGATGACTTTTCATCTAATAGCAAAATTCATCAGAGATGACTTTTCTTAAAGAGAAAAGTTCATCTGAGATGACTTTTCTTATAGAGAAATGTTCATCGAAGATGATTTTTCTTATAGAGAAAATTTCATCGGAGATGACTATTCTTATAGAGAAAAGTTCATCGGAGATGACTTTTCTTATAGAGAAAAGTTCATCGGAGATGACTTTTCTTATAGAGAAAAGTTCATCGGAGATGACTTTTCTTATAGAGAAAAGTTCATCGGAGATGACTTTTCTTATAGAGAAAACTTCATCGGAGATGACTTTTCTTATATAGAAAAGTTCATCGGAGATGACTTTTCTTATAGAGAAAAGTTCATCGGAGATGACTTTTCTTATAGAGAAAAGTTAATCGGAGATGACTTTTCTTATCGAGAAAAGTTCATCGGAGATGATTTTTCTTATAGAGAAAAGATCATCGGAGATGATTTTTCTTATAGAGAAAATTTCATCGAAGATGACTTTTCTTATAGAGAAAAGTTCATCGGAGATGACTTTTCTTATAGAGGAAATTTCATCGGAGATGACTTTTCTTACAGAGAAAAGTTCATCGAAGATGACTTTTCTTATAGAGAAAATTTCATCGAAGATGTCTTTTCTTATAGAGAAAAGTTCATCGGAGATGACTTTTCTTATAGAAAAATTCATCGATGAACTTTTCTTATAAGAAAAGTCATATTTTCTTTATAGAAAAGTCATCTTCGATGAAAAGTCACCTGCGAATCATAATCTTGTTCATCGGACTTTTCTTATAGACAAGTTCATCGGACTTTTCTTTTAGAAAGGTTTATCGAACTTTTTTTATAGAAAAGTTTATTTCTTATAGAAAAGTTGATCGAACATATCTTATAGATAATTTCATCGGACTTTTCTTATAGAAAAGTTCATCGGACTTTTCTTATAGAAAAGTTCATGGGACTTTTCTTATAGAAAAGTTCATCGGACTTTTCTTATAGAAAAGTTCATCGGACTTTTCTTATAGAAAAGTTCATCGGACTTTTCTTATATAATAGTTTATCGCCGAAGAGTTTTCCAAGTTCATCGGCGATGAGTTCTCCGAGTTCATCGTAGGCGACTTTTCCTTTAAATAAAAGTTCATCGAAGATGCACTTTCCTACATAAAACAGTTTATTGGAGACGAAAAATTCATCGGAAATGTTTTTTTCTACAGAAAGGTAATCAGAGATACCTACAGAAAAGGTAATCCTTAAATAGGGGATGCATTTTTTGGCGAGAGAGAGAGTTTTATAAAAATTCTTCAATTGACCCACTGTGAATGCGGTGACAAAATTAAAGAAATATATTATTTGTTAGGTGGCATAAAATAAACGCGGCTATTTCTTAGCATGAATTAAGTTAGTGAATAATGTTATAAAAAAAACACAAATAGCAAAAACAACAACAAAAAAGTGTGTTAAGGAATTTGTTTGTCGTCGATGTTGTTGTTGTTGTTTTGATTGTAAAAGAAAATGCTTTTCTTTTCGGTTGCTATTTTCTCGAGCTGATTCCGTTTCATTGTCTGCTTCTTCTTTTTATTTTGTTGTATTGTTTGTGAATAGAAATGTACGTTTATTATTGGCAAGAACGATGAAATTGTTTTGAAATTGAAATTTGTGCGATGGTGGATGTATGTAGGTATTCCAAAATGTCGGTAACAAAATCCTTAATATTAATGATTTTAGTTATAAACTAAAATCTAAATTGCTTTGGATTTTTTTTTTTAGTTGTCGTCATCATGTCTTCCTCTTCTATCCGTAGTCGGAAATTTTCTTTTAGTTTTTAAAAGATTTTAGATTTTGTTTTTGTACTTTTCTTCTTTATCTACTCTTGGTCCGTTTCGTATGCCAATCGTAGGGCTATTATATTTTTTATATATTTTTTCTTGTTGATTATTGAAATGCCGTGCTTGTTCTCTTCTTTGTGATTTTTGTGTCTTCGTTCCTTCGGCAGCAGCGTTCTCGTCTCTGTGTGTTCTGTAAGTACATTAAAAATAATGACAAAAACACTGAGTAAATATACCATGAAAAACAAGAAATAAAAAAGAACGAAAATACATATATATGTAGATATATATTCCTATAGCTAAGTACCTATATAAAATATACGACAAGTGAGTAATACACAGACACAGCTGCTTATAATATCTAAATGCATAGATAATTTATAAAAAAATCAAATTACATTCAAGTATTTTTAATAACACAAAAGCAAACAAACCTACACAGAAATACAAAAAAATACATTTGAAAGTATGCCAACAAAATATACAAAAAAAGAGATCAACAAAAATTTAATTAATATTCTATCCTTTGTGTAAACAAGTACGGGTAGCAAAACATCTAGATAAATCATCGACACAACGACAGGAGGAAGCACAAACAAAGGCAAATAATTTATTTGCTGGCATAACGAACGAATCTGCTAAAGTGAAACACGTGTATTTCACTTGAAATCCCAAAAAAGCCTAAAAGTAGGCAATATTTGTTTGTTTTCTATTATCCTAAAGGTATGCAACATTAAAATGCGATTAACCTTATTTCAAATCATGTTTACATAATCTACCGACATATTTTATCAATGATTTCATTCATAGATTTTTCTACTCATTTTGTTTGTTTTCTTCATTTCCTTGTTATACTTAAGAGATTGAGCATCAATTGTATCTTAATTAGAAAATGAAGGATATTTAATTAAACTAAAAATGTTTGTTTTAATTTCTTTGATCCTGTTTATAAATGTTTAAAGTCATAGCTTCTACATCTCAGATAAATCGATATATTTACTATCTACTACGAGGAATACGTAACAGCTCCGTTAGTACTGTAAATGGGGCATTAACGTTTGGATAAATTTGGGACCTTTATTGGCTGCGGTGTCTTGGATAATATGACCAATTGCAAACTGATGGACCAGGGATTGAATCCAAAAAAATATTTTGAAGTGGTTCTCGAATATTTGTATAAAGAGGATTATATAGCCCTCAAGATGAAATTCATATAATGTCCTCTCCCATTCAAATAACCTACCATGAGTATAACACAAAATAAGAATGGCTGGAGATAGCGTACTAATTAAGCAGGGACCCCAACCACTGCACAAAATTCAAGAGGGCGTTGTTTCTAGACAGCAATAGATGACAGCATAAACACCTAGGACAGACAAAAGCAGGCCAACCTCGACATTTACATAAAAGCTGACAAAACTAGATACACTAATTATTCAAAACACACACTATTGCCAGATTAATGGAGATATCAATAG